ACTTCATTACCCTGTAGGACCAACAGGTTATTTTAAAAAATCTGAACTCGTGCTGATTTGAGGACATCCTTCTAACTAATGATAGCTCAAGTTCAACCAGTTTCTTGAGGATACTAAAGTGCTATATAGACTTTTTAAATTAAATAGATATAATATATCAGCATCTTAGGTCTGTAACAACATATATTCTGATTCTCATTGGCCTAACTTTTTGTTAAGTTTTGCAAGTAAAAATATGGCAATTAATTGGGATGAATATTAGTTAACAGCCCTTAACTACGTTTTTCCAACCACATGCAGGAGAGAGACTCTTCACAAACAAGGGAAAACCAAATTCATTCACTTGGTTGGTGTTTCTCACCCAAATCCCTTTCCCCGCATATTTGCTGTGCTTTCCACTTATTTATTTTAAATGTGAGAGAGTGCAGATACTCTTATATTTAAAAAAATCTTGGTGAAAATAAGATATTCTATTAGGTGAAATGGAATTAAAATAATCCTATTTTGTGGCCAGTTGTATAAAGGTTGCAACCTGCCAGCTGCCTTCTGACCTGTGTGAAATATCTTGGCCATTGTCACACTCTGGTGTATAGGAGGCAAGCGCCACAGTATTAAAAGCACAAGCACTGTGGACCTGAACCACCACCTCTGCCTACAACGTCACATTTTCTGGACTGAGATGCGTCATGAACTAACGTCATTTGAGACTTGAGTAACTCTTTTGTTGAAAGACAGCTTTAATCTCCATTTACACACCAGTATTTTGTATGGCTTCAAAGAGGTGAGGAGAGGTGGCCGTAGGAAGTGGATTCCAACTACACAGCCAGCCAGTCATGTCTCCTGTTGGCAATGCGGGCTGAAGTCACGGATGTCATCTCCACAATCCTATTTTACTTCCCTTTTGTGAACTTAACTTGGGAAGAGATCAACTGCCCAGCAGATCTTGCTTTTAAGTCTAGGAATACGTGCATCATCTGGCTCTTACACTGATTACTATAGGAAGATGTTTGTCTTATTCCTCATAGCCTCACTGCTGAGCTAGCAGAGGTGAGAGAAGAGAGAGGAAGGCCAGAAGTCTATGCAAAGAACTAGAAACTAAGAATATCAGGATTATTTGCATTGATCATTTTTAATTCCAAAGAAACTCCCTCTTTTACTGTAGCTCATATTGAAGCCATACACATTGTTATTGAAGAGAATTAAATCAACTTTTCATTGGCAATCATGTAGTCTAGAAAACATGACTGAACAGGAGGAAGGCAGAGTGCTGGCATTGTCCTACATGGTGCATCACTGCAGCAGGTGACCAACAACCACAATAAACAGCCAGAAAGGTACTACTGAACCTATCTGATTACTTACATTAAAACCTTCATGTGAACTTAATACAGAAAATAAGCATCAAATTCATTTCTCTGGTAGAGGAAATCATACTGTTTACACTTTCATAAAACACTGGAAATATCTACATGAAAATTCTTGGTGCTCGGTGCTTGGTATCGTACTATCTTACGGTACTCTGGAAGGTTTCTTTTAAATTAACATGCACACTGCAAAATCAACAATAGCATATTGATCTCTATATTTTTCTATCCATTTAGCATCTCCTTATTGTGATGCAGTGGAGAAAATCCATAATTTTAGCCACAGAAAAGCCAGGAGAACTTAAGAATTCTCTGAGGCTGCTGGGAGAAATTAGTTGTGAATAATAATTCCTGTACAATGTCCTGTGCTAAAATCCTAAAGTACAGCTGTACCATCTGGACTGTAACAACAGCTTCGTTTGTTAATGATAGGTAAGGGAGGTGTAGAGGGACCTGTGCTGTCGCTAGCAGAACAGCATGTTGATCACTGACAACAATGCGACTTCCATTGCTAATACAATTAGAGATAATTAAGATGCAGAAACAGGGTCATTATATTTTCTCAGTAGCTATTTTACTGCTTGTAATTATTATTGTATATATACCTGCAATCAGTGAAATAACATGCACTTACACTGTTCAGCCACCAGTGGAAAACTTTGGTGTTTCCCTACAAATAAGAGATCAATTTGTAGGTCAAAATGTGGCTGCTTCCAGGTCAAGTGGAATATAAGAACTCACCATGGTCTGGACCTTTTATCTTGGTATTTAGAAAATTGACCCCTCCTTACTATCCATACTGGCTAATAAAAACCAAACAAAATAAAACAAAAGCCACTGTTTACAACATCAAGGGTTTTTTTTTTTCTTTTAACTGAACAACCAAAATATGCACTAAGAATAATTCAATTTGATGGCTTATCTTTTTGCCCAGTGGGGGTCTTCACTGAAGTGTGGTCATGAAAGCAATTTCCATGCTGATGAAGACAAAAGCTTTTATGATACAAACAAGTAAATGATTGCCAAGCAAACAAACAGAAAGAACAACAACAACAACAACAACAAAAAGGAGGATCTTACTATCATAGGCACACAACTATCTTCCCTTTTTAAGAAAATGAAATTAAGCTAATACACAACATATATGGTATTGTATTTTTTAAATAATCCTACAAACAGAAATGCTATGAATAGTGACATTCTCTAATAGAACTACTTGTGAATCCTTATTTGCAGATGTTAATAAGACAACGTCTTATTAGAATCCAGTCAGATCTAAAGCTTCACACTATCACTTAGTTAAGAACTCTCTTAACTAAGGGTCTCTTTTAAAGTGTAAACTACAAAAAAGTAAACTTGATCATTAAAAAATGACAAACTAGATGACACCTCCATCCTTAAAAAGAAATGAAGAAATTTCATGGCTCCAGGATTCAAAAGTGAAAGAGAGTGAGAACACATTTTTTCTTTTACTTACATGTATCTATTAAAATGATTTAGAGGTGTGATCATATTAAAGGTAGAGAAACCTTCAGAAATAAACTGCTTCACACATAGGAAGCTTTAAGTTATATTTTGCAAAAAGACATCACAAAGGTCTCATTCTGATTAACTTAACTGGAATTATATAATTATTTCTAATAGATAAGTAGGTATAAGCAGGATTAATGCAAACTGTCACATAAGCCTAGATTTATTCACCATGTAGAAACAGAGATTTAATTAGATACATATTCACATCCCTTCTTCCAAATTAGTCTGCATTTCAAATCAAATATTTTAAAGATATTTAAATATATATATATATATCAATTCAAACTACCAAATCACAGAATCACAGGAGTGCTTCCTAATTTCAGTAGTATGGGAGGAGACAGGGCCTCCACCAAAGCAAGCACACTGATATTACTAAAATGGTTTACTATAACCTTAAGTCTACATTTCAGTAAGAAAAGCCATTTTGGAGACTAAAGTGACTTTCTTTCATTTTTATAAAATAGCTTTTATCTCTCTGAGATTCTCTGAGTTTACAACAAGCAATGAAAAGCACATACATATATCCACTAGAACTGTGCAGATGTTATAAAGAGCCAAGCAGCTTGCAGAATTTCCATCCTTAGAGGTATTCAAGACTTGACTGGACAAGAAACTTACTTTTAAGTTGGCATTGCTGTGAGCCAGCATTGGACCAAATGACCTCCAAAAGTTGCCTCTAAATTAGATTATAATCTATGATTCTATGATTTTATCATCTTTTTTTTTTTTGTTTACAATATATACATTGTTGTGCAGGCATACCCAACTATTTACGCTCTTGGAGGAATTCTGTGCTGTCAGGAAGCCTGAAATCCCAGTGCAGATCCAGGAGACTGCTCTTCCACAGTTTGGTGGATCTCAAGGTTCAATTTAACCTCCTCAGAGGTGACACTGCTTTATTCTCTAAGGAGACAATATACTAAACAAGAAACATTGGTTTCGTTCCTCTAAATCAGACAACAAGTATGTTTTTCTCTTGTGGCCTGACACATTTTTATTTTCAGTTTAGAAAATAGGAATAAACCTCTCTCAATGATCCCCACTTATGCTCTTGTAGTGCAATGAACTGCAGGGGCACTTGAGGTTGTGTTCATGCAAGATGCTGAATTTTTTGTTGGTATTTTATAGAACAGGAGTCTTACATATGAAAAAGAAAATTAAAAACAATTTAAATACTTTATGATCAATGTCCAAATGAAGCCACTTAAGAGTCTATTTTCACTCTCTTCCTCGTCTCAAATCCTGCATGAGAAAGGCAGATCAGCTGTAGCTCTAAAAGTTATGGCTTGGCCTTACGAAACAGTGCCCTTTCCTTATAAAAATATTATAAAAATAAACTAAGAGAATTATTAAGACTAATACAAGAGTTGTGCAAAGACATGTTAGAAAAGGAAAACTGTAAGAGAAAGATAATACCAGCTTCTAAGTTTAGTCTCTGAATATCACAAATGGCTTCATGCTAAGCCTAGGATATACTCTTACAAAACAGGTCTTTTAAGCCTCACAAATAATTCCACTTCTACAAACAAAATAGCAGCAGGATTCTAAGAGTGTCTGCATTTTGCAAACATGAGAACAGCCTTTGGACACAATAAACAGAATAGGAGAGTTTGCCAATTGTACAGTTATATTCCTTACATACACATGACTTTCAGAACCAAAATTCCAAGTGGCTGATATTACCGCTCTCTACCTAAATCTCTAGCTGCAAAAACATCTCCAGATCAGCCATTGAAGACAGGCACAAAATTAGCTTTTTTAAGGAGTTTGATCTTTACTGACCTGTGGACAGAATTTAACTATCTGGTTATAGTTTATAAACCAGATTGTTTAACTATAATGGTATCTTTTCATCTCTGCCTCTGCCTGTGAGGATGGAAAGGTTTCTAGCCTTCATGCTTTCTAAAGCACCCTGCACAACCAGAACTTAAAGCCATCATCTCCATCCTGTAAGCAGGATCCCCATCATTAAAAAGTTGTGGCTACCTTGACTGTAGGTCAGAATCACCATTTCTCTATCATCATATGTGTGTTTTCAGAATCTGAAGGAGGTTCACAGTTATGAAGGTATCTAAATAATGTCAGTGATGTCGAACTTACCTGTCAATAATAGCACACATGTCAATGGTGACATTGGCAAAGCTTCCCAGCTTGCCTTGTTCCACTGCTTGCAAGTCCACCAGCTGATCATCCACGTGAATGAACTGCATGCACCCTTGAAACGAATGCTGAAACAGCGAGTGATCCGAGTCATTCATCTGCACAGGAAACCCTGCAGAGAAGCAGAAAAAAGAACATTATTAACATCCCATTCTATTACTCAAGCTAGCATTTTTTTCACAGCAAAAGATGTGTTTTCTAGACAGGAGAAGCAAAGATTAGGTGAGAAGGACATATTTAATAGTTATTAGGTTACACTGCATTATGCATTACTGACTTAAGTCACTGGAAACTATGAGCAAAAATTTATTTAGTACAGGTGATGATTCTTCCATTAGTTTTTGTCTACTGGACAGATGCTTTCTGTGAGCCATCTTCTCCTCCTGCTGCCTATAGCTGTTCATCATTACTTTTCTCTTTATACAGATATTAATTGAATAAGTGAAAATTTATCTCCTTGATATATTTTAAGAGTTCCTTTCCCATTTCTCAGATATTTTTTACAGCATGCATGCCATGTAATCCAGTTCAGCTTCATCTAGATGTACACCCTCTGTACAATAAAAACTGTTGCTGAAAACTTGCTGCAAACTTAAAACAAATCCTGAAATCTAATTTCCTGGCCTACTTTAAGAAATCTGAGGACCTTCTGCAGTATTTTTGTTTCTGCAGTCAATGTGTTCATTCAGCCATCCTTAGGAAGGCCCTTTACAAGCGAGAAGGAGGAGGAATTCCAGTCTCGACACAGGCTAGAAGACTGGAGGAGAGAGGATATTTGTATGTAACTCTTTAACTGAATGCCCTTCAGAAGTGAATGTGTCAATTTAGCTGTGAAAAATGCCTTGCACAAGACAACAGCGAGCCTCCTCCACACCTTATAAATCTTTAACAATGAACTCCCTGAAAAAAGCTCCAAGAAAATCATTTAAACAGAATTTGCTAAAGAAGGGAGACAAGCTAACAACAGTTTATTGGTAGAGGCTGAAAAAAATGCGTAATGGCTTTATGCACTTCAGTTACGAAGATGACCAGTCATGCGGCTCTTCACTGACACGGGGAAAAATTGTGCCCACATTTCTCCTGGCAGCAAAGCCAAGCGAGGCAGCCTCCATTCCTCCTCTCACTTTGCACTGGAACAGCAGTTTGCGGAGGCATGGTACCAACAGATAACAGAACGCATGCAAGTTAAAAATAACCTGATAAAGGCAGTGAGTTATTTTTCACAATCCAGTTCCCCGAGGCAGTTTACCACACGCCTTACAAATAGCTGTGATGCTATTTAATGGCTTACAAACAGTGACGGAGGGCAGCGATCAGCAAGTAGGGCTTGACTACCGACACTGCTCGCAGTGGCGAATGCTGGTAAAAACAAACAAAACCCTGATAACACACACGCCCACCCTAAAATCTATTTAAGATGGCATTTTGACTTCAAGGGTTTGCCAGCATATACATATGACCAATAAAGGCTGCTTAAATTTCTAAATATAACTAAAATGCTTCTAAAACACTCTTGCTCACCAGCTAAATTTACTGCTGGCAGCCCAAATTTCCCTGCATGTGTTTTCACAGCTCTCCAGCGTAGAGGCCAAATTAATCAGGGATGTTACAGAAATGGAGGAGTACCTATGCTAAAAGTGAACTCTGACATGTCTTTCAAGACACCACCTTGATGTCAAACGCCCTCATGGGACAAATCTGTGACACTACCACAAGGCGCCTTGAACAGCAGCAAAAAATTTATACCACCCTCTCTAATGCCAATCACAAGGAAAAGGAAAAACTCCTTGAGATTCACAGCCTCCATGACTGCTGTTTCATCACAAAATCCCTCACCTCTATAGACTGCAGAGGTCGCCAGAAAATGCTAATCTTTACTGCTCCTTTGAGGTTGTTAGTATGCGTTTGAGCAACTGTCAGGCAGTTCAATCAAGGCAAAATTGAATGCAGAGTGTCATCAGTTACTAAACGCTCAGCAAGAGCTTAATTGAACGCTGCCAGACACAATATGTGGCAGGAAAGTCTTGTTGCGTTTCTGCCCAGCTGAGGAACACTTGATGTACATGGGTGTTTCAGCATTTCCAAACACAAGGCAGTATCTGGAGTAATCCTGAGATATCAGAGATAGCTGTGGCCTTATCTCAGAGCAGCATTTTACGCTCCCTATTGCACTGAACAGAAGTTAGTCACATAAACTAGTCATTCATCTCTTCTCCAAGAGAGGAGTCTATACCAAACATGAGCCATCCAAATTCTGATCTTTGATATTTGAATGAAGACTGTAACTTGCTCCCTCGCTTCAGCTGCCCATCTTCCTACTGGTTTCTCTGTTGTTCCTATTCAGTAAAGAACTGGAGGAGAGGATTTCCATGCACTTCCACGACACCTCACATAATGGGTGTCAAGGTGTTTCAGTCATATTACTACTTATAAAGGATAGATACACAAAAATATAGTTTCAGAAAACAATATCCACTTATGGATTGGACACTTATGTGGGTTTTTTTTCCCAACCATATGTTTCTCCCCAAACTAGACTTTTTTCACAACATTTTTTTTTCTGCTTTAAAATTGCTGCCACAGCTTAGATAGACTTTTCTGGAGATAGTTAATAAATAAGCTGTTATATAAAGAGCATAGCATATGGGAGAGCAGCAAGATAAGCCTTCTGTGCAATATAAATGCTGTTTTCAGACTACTAAATATTCAGGTAATGATCATCAATTTTGTTAAGGCTTCGACAGCCTTGGCCATACAATCCCAGAAAGAGTTATGTAGGGTAAAGCTTGCGCCTTAATGTAAACCTGGAAATGACTCCGTATATTGTGGTTATTTTCTCCAGTATAGATATAGTGACAGTTTCACCCTTATAGGTTTCCAGCACTGGGTCGTGATTCACTTCCCGGTCCTGTCCCCATTGAATGAAATCATAATGAAATGAATTCTATAACCAAGGCTGACAGTAATGCTGTCACTGGAAAGGCCAAGTAATGGATGCCCACATTGTTTAGACAACACTGTATTGATTTTCTTGCTGACAAGAAAAATATGTACATTTCTAACTGCACATAAAGAGCTATTTCAGGATACAGAGTGTAAAATAATGTTGATGCTCATGATTACAAATGCACATTACAGCCTGATAGACTCCCTTCCGCTAAGGTTTCTTTTTCCTCCTGACTTTTTTTTGTACGAAGTCAGACTCTAATCACTTTATTTTTCACATTTTAAAGCCCACAGAGTTGGATTATACTGCAAAAGTCAGATATAGATTGAATCCGAATTTTTCCCAGACCTCAGTGAAACTTTTTTCCAAGATTTCACTCTGACCTATCAAACATGGAGCAGCCAAAATTCTGAATCCGCTACTGAGCTTAATTCAAACTTGAAAAAAAACCCACTAAATATAGTTTTAACTCATAATATTTTCTATGTTAGAAGTCCCTTTATATAACAAAATATAATAGAAATATTTAATAGTAAATAAAAATAGGCACAAAAGGAAAGCAATATCTCTGTTCAAGTGCCAAAAACTATCATGCCTCTCTTCCCATCACATTCCCATTCCCATCTCATTTTCCTTAGATGGAAGTCTAAACAAAAATATATTCAGTTTCACAGTCTAACAGTTAATGACCAAATATTTAAAGTACAGCATTAAACCTCTGATGTGCAACTTGTTTTTGAGACCTTGCCTAAGAATGAACTATACTAAACTGCCCATTGAATATGGATATTATTTTATATAATTACAAAAAAACACTGAGCTGTTCTTTGAAATGTAATGCAAATTCTGTTTTTTGCTTGCTTGTTTGCTTGTCAGAGACAGTTTTCTTCCAATTCTAAGACCTCTTCATCAGTACACTTCTGTATCTGCCTTTGCTTTACCTGCAACAGCAGGTGGATGTCTGTATGCAGACAGTACTTGGAGTTTTGCTTCTTTGAATGAAAAACCCACATTAAGAAAAAAAAAAATCAAGTATATGTCCTAGCTCCTGGCTATCAGAAAGATGAGAAAGAAAAAGAACTTGTGATTTGTCAGGATACTTAGCAACACAGTATTTTTCAGAAGTCAAGTGATCTTTACATTTTCTGTGTGCTTTATTCAGAATTAAAACGTGTTTATTCTGTATCCTGTTTTACCCACAGAAAAAAGTACAAATTCTGTGGATATATGTGCATTTATATTGAAGATATTATATAAGTTTCAGAAGTTAATGAACAGAGAGAGACTAAATGATGAGCTGCAATGGACCTCCCTAAAATTCACTATAATACCTTTATGTTTGTTTCAGTCAATCCGGACTGTGGCCTTCAGTGTGTGAAGAGCCACAGAGGCAATAGCTTTAGAAAACTAGGAGTCTTCTGCCCCAGAAGCATGAAATAAATTTAAGTAAACAAACTGCGGAACGGATGAACGGAATGAGTGAACATGCAACTATTCTTCATTCCACTGCATCTCTTAAAAAAATGTAGAAATGCACAAACTAACAGATACAGAAAAGGACTTGAAGAAATACAAGGGCAATACCAGAGTTTTTCCAGTTATATATCTTTAACCAAAATCACGGTTCTATATCAAGGAATAGAAAGTATAAGGACAGGGTTTGCCAAGACATTGGATCCTGTATCTAGTAACTGTCCTGAAAATAAAACTTCAGGCCCTTGTAGCTCAGTGGAACACAGGAAGGCAAACCAGAGTGGGAACTGCAATTTTCCTATGTCTATCTCCAAGTGACAATGCAAATGCTGCATTTTCTAACAAATTCCTCTTTATTTTTGCCTTCATTCCTTCACTTATGAGAACAGAGATGAATGCAAGGTAGTGCACTCCACCCCACTATAAATTGCTACCCCTAAAATAACAAATGTGTTTATATTCCAAGAGAAAAAATACACTTTACTAATCCTAAAGCTTAGGACATGAGGCTGCTCTCTCGCAGCATTCCTGAGGCACACAGCAGTCCTCCAGGTACAACAGACTGGCGTTAATGAAGTCTCCAGAGGACTTCACAGAAAATGCTCTGTACATGTCATTCATATTAGGATGGAAAAGTTTAACCAAATCTCATAAGACTTGGCAGCATTTTCTACCACTGATCTGATGCCTGA